AGGAGTGGTATGTTATATTCAGGGGTGCTGTGTTTGTGTTAGGGGCAGTGTGTTATGTTAAGGGGGCTGTGTTGTGTTAAGGGCGGTGTGTTATGTTAAGGGGCGCAGTGTTGTGTTAGGGGCTCTGTGTTAAGGGCGCTGTGTTGTGTTAGGAGTGGTATGTTATGTTAAGGGGTGCCGTGTTGTGTTAGGGGCTCTGTGTTATGTTAAGGGGCGCTGTGTTATGTTAAGGGGCGCACTGTGTTGTGTTAAGGGGTGTGTTGTGTTAGGAGTGGTATGTTATGTTAAGGGTGCCGTGTTGTGTTAGGGGCTCTGTGTTATGTTAAGGGGCGCTGTGTTGTGTTAAGGGGCACTGTGTTGTGTTAAGGGGCACTGTGTTGTGTTAGGAGTGGTATGTTATGTTAAGGGGTGCCGTGTTGTGTTAGGGGCTCTGTGTTATGTTAAGGGGTGCTGTGTTGTGTTAGGGGCTCTGTGTTATGTTAAGGGGTGCTGTGTTGTGTTAAGGGGCACTGTGATGTTTAAAGGAGCACTGCCATGTAAAGGGGGACAGTGATGTGAAGGGGAACTGAGGACACTGTGGGACTTCTTTAAAGAGGGGACTGTGATGTAGGGGGACTACAGTGTAAAAGGTACGCTAAAGATGATACCGAGGGACTGTGATGTGTTATATCACTAATGAGATTCAGACCTCTGCTGGAAGGAAATTTTGCTGACCGGACCTCCGTAAATTTTAATTCAACACCCTTGCTGTAATTTAGTATCCAAATCTGAACATGGATCTGGCCATTTCTGCAAAAGAACAGTTGGAATTTTCTCATCTCTTACATACGCTTAAATGTAAAGCAGCTGGGAGGGGTCAATATTAAATTAAATATCAAATTAATAAGACCCTTTTTAGGTCTTCTTAAATCTTCTTAAGGTAGTTACACTAGCAAGCAACTGCAGTTCCTGCATCACTTTTATCCTGTTTTTAGTGGTCTTTTTCCCCTTGTCAGATTCTTAACTGAGCCATTATTTCAGGAGTTTTAGCAACTAGATGAGCTGCTTGGGGAAGGGGGGGTGTATATCTGTTAAGCATTCACAAGTGTAAAACTAACGCTGGGCTCCTAATTTCTTTTTTACTGCCTACACAGGGGAGAATTCCCTTCCACAATTACCCTTTGCTCCAGTAATTCACTGATTGCCTCTCTAATATGAGGTATTGCCTCTGGTGACAACTTATATTGTAGCTGAAATAGAGGCAATTCATCACCAACAACATACACAGTAACATCCATTTTTCCTCAGTTAGTCTTTTTCTGCATCCAAAGATTTGAAAACAACAAATGTAATTTATAATCAATGGCAGAAAAAACTCACACAGCAAAGATTCCATCCCTATACTCCGAGACAACATTTCTTGTGTATTCCTTCACAAAGCTAAAATTAACAAGTCAATGGTGAGGAGGAACCAGCACATCCATGCCCAAATGTGTTTCCTCAAGCCCACTTACAGTAGAAAATACATGAAAAGAACATTTGATTTCTTTACACATGGATGCTGCTTTATTTTTAAACTTCAAATATTCCAATTAACTTGATAAGCTGTTGTACTCTCCCCAATAAAGCCAGTTAAGCTGATTTTCTTGTAGGTTTTAGATCATGATTTGTACATGTGCTATGCACTTTTTAGAGAGGGGGCTTTTTGATTGCTTTAATCCAGGGGTGCTCCACCCATTGCCAGTGGAACCCTCTGATGTGGCCTGCCACCTCAAACCAGGGAAGCGCATACCTGAGGTCAGCAACCCATTGATTGCAATCTTGGCTTGCCAACCTGCCATCCCAGAGCATCCGAATTCAGTGAGCCAGTGCCAGCAGCAGAGGGATAAGGTGGCCATGGAGGGAGCAGGAGCAGCATAAGCCAATGCTTCCTCTGTAGTGCTGGTTTCTATCCTAGATAGAATGATACCAAGTGCACTCCAACTATAAACCTTTCTAGCAGCCTGAAGAGCAATGCCAGCACCAGCTGCAAGAGGAGAAGAAGGTCAGTGTATCATACAACACATGCAATGAGCTTAATAGCATTTGTAATAGGCATATTAATATTGGGCTGCTTTTACATTGATCTACGGGAGCAGCACAGTGAAACTGTGGCTTTCCTGTGGGGTAGCTCCCTTGAGCCATAAACTGCTATTATATTCTGTGTGTTTGGTGTGCTTTCTTAAAGCGCACCAAAACTCCTGAATGAAGGAGTTTTGCTGCACTCCCAGAAAGTACACCACACTCGCAAGATGTAATAGTAGTTCATGGCAAAGATTAGCTAACCCGCAGGAAAGCCAAACGTTTACTGTGCTGCTCCTGCAGTGCAGTGCTTCACTGTGAAAGCTGTTTTATAGAGAGCTCAGGACAGTAAGGGCTTATTTACAATTGCAATTTGGGGAGCAGTAAAACCCCCACTGGCCCATGACCAGTTACCAAATCAATTAAGTGGCCCTCACTCTTCAAAAGGTTGTGCACCCCTGCTTTATTCTCTTCTCACATTAACCTGTATGGCTGTACTGTCTTGTTGGGTCCCAAGTCCTACTGCATAGAAGACGATTTAAATACACTGCACCGATAATAGCCAAATAACCTGAAACAATTGCATCAAATTTGGAATACATGGTTCTAGAAGAGTAAGCTTTATTACTCCAAATACCAGCAGTTCTGGATGTGCATCTGGCCAGAGAGGCAAAAAAATAATGATTTGCATGGCTCAACCCACTATTCTGAAAGTAGTAATAATCCTCTAATTTTTTTCATCCAAATGTGATGGAAAGAGACAAGTAAATATTTTGTTTTAGGAAGTCTTTATTTTGTTATTAGTAAAAATATAGTGAAGTGAGTGCTCTAGATTAGCAGCTGTAGCACTAAAGGTAACCACAATAAACCTTCAAAATGACAATAAAAATATAAAGTGCTGCGCTGATAAATAGTCATAAAATATAAAATTAGAAGTTCATCCAGTGTAGGAAATAAATAATAAGTAGGTAAAAAGTTCATATAGCATTAAATGTGCAATCCTCTCAGCAGCAGATTTCTAACAAGCTTGTGACTGGAACCAATGGTAAAATTGCGCACTCACCGGAAGCGCATAGGTAATGCACATATAAATATAACCACCAAGGATCTCTTAGGTAGGCGGAATGTATCAGGTATATGGTGAACTTCCTTCTATGGATCGGTCATCAAGTCTTGGGATAATAAGGAAATATGCTAGGTCCAGAGGTCCCCTTAAGGATGGATGGGTGCTCAGCCTGGATACAGGGCTCCCTTCCTCTGGGTGTTCAATTCAATGGGGGTTATCTGCAAGTTTAATAGCTCCATAAAGGAGCCATAAAACAGGTGCCCATAGTGTAGTATATCAAAAAATGTTTATTCCAGTAAGTAATTAAAAGACAGGGTAGTATTGCAAAGTAATTGCAGAGTAAATGCAGAGTTAAGCAGCACTGACCCTATTAAAGATGGCCGCCGGGCTTGCTCGTGGCTCCGGCGGCAATGACGCCACATTATGTCAGCTCCTCCAAGGTGCATTCACACTTGAGTGTTTGGTAGCTTGAAGCTCGAAGCTCGAAACTCCAAAAATGCTCAAACTTCAAAAATCAACTGTTCTCTATGATGCCTGTTTTGGAGTTTCGAGCTTCAAGCTACAAAATGCTCAAGTGTGTAGGCAGCCTTAGAGTGAGGGCTTTTTGATTTCTCAATTCTCTGCTCACCATAACCTGAATGGTTATACTGTCTGATTTTTATGTGAAACTGAACCACCTGTGTCAATCAAAATCTTTCCCCAATCTTTCCCTTTCACTCTCCCTTTTGCATAAGGCCTATCATCCTCACCCAGAAACAGAAAAGTAAGAAAAGCTAAGGGAATAGGATAGGGTGGAGGTGATATGATCACTTCCTCTATCTTGTTTATTGAACTCTGGGTACCTCTAATGGCTAACTATAGAAAAATTGTCCTTTATGTGTCCTACTGCACAGATTGGGGCTGTCACAGGATGACTTTCTAGCATCTGTAACTGTAGCTGAAACTCTACATGTACAGTATGTACGGGTTAGCAATACGCACAGTAGATATTTTTTGCAAACTATTATATTATCTGAATCTATCTTTTTCATAAATTGTATCATTTCTACTATATTTCATTTTGACTTTTAGATATTGTGAGCAAATCCTTCTCACATGCCCTTCTTGATTGCAGCAGAAACAAATGAATGATTCTGACTCAATGAATGATTGAGTCTCTAGGGGAATCGGCACACCGAGGTCTGCCTGTAAACTCTGGCTGGCCATTTTCCTTGACCCTATGCCCTACTTCTGCCACAAGCAGGAGTTCGAATTGCAAATACTTTCAACAGTTGATTGTTAAAAACCTCTGCCTAAGCAAAATGTTTGTGCTCCTAAGTTGTACTACAGCCTCAATAAGGTATGTGGCTTGGCTACGTTTAGCTTAATAGCAAGTTCTAAGTTACCAACTTTCCGTAAAATACTGTTCAATCATTAAATGAAGATCTTCTTTAGTTAGATCTAAAGGATTTTTTTATTTGACAAGTTTTTTTTCCATTTATCAGCTTCCAACATTTAAATTATCATCCTTAGATATTTTAAATGAATTCATTAATTTTACACTAAATCTGTCTAAAACTCTTGCTGCTCCTACTGCTGCCCTTAATTGTCCTGTCTGTGTGCTGAAATCAATCACATCTCCTAATTTTAGATTGTAAGACTCTTGGATATGATTCTGAATGTGAACATTATGTTAGGTGGGATGAGAAAGAAATTATTGTTCTATCCCAGCTCCATCCTGTATTTGCAATTTGACATGTATTTCTTAAAGTAGTTCTAAAGGATAATGAATTTTTTACCTAAAATAAAAAACATGTTATATTTACCTGCTCTATGCAATGGTATTGCACAGAGCAGCCCACTACCTCCTCGTCTGGGTTCCCCCACAGATGCTGTCTGCTCCTTCTCTTTTCCAAGTGCCCCCCTTAGCAAGCCAGTGTGAGTGTTTTCCTGAGCTACATTGTTTGCCCTCAGGGGCAGACTGACCATTAGAGCTCTCAGGCACGGCCCGAGGGCCCGGGGTCAGTAGGGGGCCACATGAAATGCCCCTGGTACCTTTTTTTATAGGCTTTTTTGAGTGTGGGCAAGGACACGGGGGCCCCATGATCCCCTATTGCCCGGGGGCCCCATGAGTTGTCAGTCCATCCCTGTTTGCCCTATTTAGTTGTCTATTGGGGTCACAAGGTATTTTGGTTGATGTTGCTCCTGGAAATACAGTGGGGCATGGGTCATCATTTTGTGAAAGTGTCTTTGAGTCTGAGAGCATGTGGGTTTATGGTTGTAGTAAGTGTAAGTCAGTAAGAGTAGGGGGTAGGCACAATCACGGTAATTGTTAGTACAAAAGGATTGTGGGCAGGGAAACCGAGTAAGTGATTATAAAATGGGAACTGGCTGGGTCTCTGTTGTTTATGAGGGCAGGTGGTTCAGTTGCCTGTGAGCTTGACATGAGGAAGGTTGGGCAATGAAGTTGTCTGTGTGTCTAGTGGGAGCTGGCTGAGACACAAAGATAGCAACCAATGGTGGAAGACTGGGCTGAATTATCTATTGACAGCATTGGCAAATTGTTGTGCCCTCTTTGAGTAGACCAACCTGACTATATTATTTTATTTGATATGTGCCAGTTCCATATCTGAATGGACCACTTTGGCCTGTGTAGCCTGGATTGTGGCTTACTCTGCAGGGTGTTTCTCCACCACAAATGGTCACTCTCTCTTCCTGATTGGAAGACTTGCTGGATAGAGAAAAGAGTCCCCAGTGCATGAACTGTGGCAGCCATTTGTTGTAGAATGAGTGGTGGATACTATAGTGAAGGAGACAATGGACAAAGCTAAACTGGCAGCAATTTTGGAAGGGGACCAAAAAAACTACCAGACCAAAGACAGGAGGTGCCCAGCAGTGCCACCCACCTGTGTCCATCAGTGCCTAGTAGAGCCATCCACATGTGCCCAGCAGTGCAACCCATCAGTGCCACCCATCAGTGCTGCCCATCACAGTGCTGCCCAACACCACCCATCAGTACCCATCAGTGCCACCAGTCAGTGCCCAGCAGTGCCGACAGTCAGTGCCACCCATCAGTGCCGCCTATCAGTGCCCATCATTGTTGCATATCAGTGCAGTATCCTCAGTGCCGCCTATCAGTGCTGCCTGTCAGTGCTGCCTATCCGTGCCACCTTATCAGTGCCGCCTATCAGTGCCCATCAGTTTTGCCTATCAGTACCCATCAGTGCTGCCTATCAGTGCAGCCTCATCAACGCACATCAGCGAAGGAGAAAAATTACCTGTTTGCAAAATTTTATAACAGAAACAAAGAAAAACTTTTTTTAAAAACATTTTTGCTTTTTTTTGTTTATAGTGCAAAAAAATTAAACACCCAGTGGTGATTAAATACCACCAAAAGAAAGCTCTATTTGTGTGAAAAAAATGATAAAAATTTCATAAGGGTACAGTGCTGCATGACCGCGCAATTGCAATTCAAAAAGTGTGACAGTGCCGAAAGCTGAAAATTGACCTGGGCAGGAAGGGGGTATAAGTGTCTGGTAGGCAAGTGGTTAAGAAACAAAATGACACAAAAAAGAAATGAAAGTGGTTTTATTAAAGGCTCAAGGTTTAACCTTCATGCATTCTATTTTCTTCCCATACACGAATGTAAAAAATATTCTGTGTGCAGCACTCTCCCCCTAATACTTACCTCAGCCCCCTCTTGGTCCAGTGATGTGCATCCTGGCTCCACACCTTTGAGCAGTGCTCCCACGGCATGCAACTTGCTCTGGGGGCATTGGTGCATGCTTACTCCCGAGTCCCACTCTATTCATCCATTTAAGACACATAGAGCTGTGGCTTCGCACTACTTTTCTCATTTTCCTCCAGCAATGTGCAAGAGAGTTGAGCTTCTCTTGGGGCTTTCATTCCTCATTGACTGAGAAAGCAGCAGGAGCTCATTGGCTGTGATTGACAGTAGCAGGAGCCAAAGGGCCCTGCTGCTTTCTCAGTCAATGAGGAATGAGAGCCCCAAGAGAAGCTCAGCTCTCTTGCACATCGCTGGAGGAATATGAGGAAAGTAGTGCCAAGCCACAGCTCCATGTGTCTTAAATGGATGTGTGAGATGGGGAAACAGCTCTCATTGTTTGAACACTGTTTGTGTGGAAGTAAATTAATGTTTTGACTGACATTCTGCGGTTTAGCCACAAGATGTCACTGTTTTTCTAACACAGCCTCAGACTGCATAGATATTTGTATATTCGTGAAGAGGTGGGGTTTTTGCACACAGAGTTGGAGAGAACAGGAAGGAGAGGGAGAAGTCATGTTTTGGAGCATGGTGAATAAGGGGCCGTGTGAGCTGAGAATCTGATGACATCCAGGTGTGAAAGCGTCCCTCAGTAACCAGAGCTGCAGCTGAGTGAAGCTGATGAGATTGCTGCCAGGAAGCTGATGAGATTGCTGCCAGGAATGCTGATGAGATTGCTGCCAGGAAGCTGATGAGAGCAGAGGAACTAAGCAACATATACGGCGAGACCGCATGCTTGTTAGAGAGACATTTGTTCTGTTCAGAGTCACCAGCGGATGCAAAGCAGATACGGGTCAGTAAGATCGTGCACGCAACTCATTTCAGTGTTGGTGCCTTGAGACTGAGTCCAGGCCTATAGTTAGTTAGTTAGGGTCTCTGTTTGTGTCAGGCCACAAGTGTGTTACTGACTATTGGAAGGACTCCACAACCTAAAGTGACATTTCACATTGGAGAGCTGATAAAATCCTTCAAGCTAGGCTGGCGATTTGCTCAGAAGGAATACTCAGGCACGTGCTACAGGACCAGTTATGGGAGAGGGAATACTGTAGATTTGTGTAAGATTGTAAGCTGTTGTGCTGCACTGCAGGCTAGCCCATACCGTACACCCGTACACTGATTCCTGCTATTTTAGGGTAATAACAGGTAAGGTGTGGCAGCTTATTTCTGCCCACCAGTAGGTAAATTATTTCACTTTCTACCTTCATCATCAGAAGGCGCTGTGCTGTGCAGCACAAGGGTCTCAGCCTTTGGGCTGGGTGTATGTACATTTATTGTATGTTTTGTGGTTGTGTTTATTTGCCACACCTAAGTAAAATTCTGTTGTGGCAAAAGCTGGTGTTGGGGTTGCTTTCCTCGTTCGGCACTTCACTGTATCCTGGGGAGCCCACCTACAGCATCCGGACATCTAACCACCGCTGGTGGCCATCCTAAATTTTTGGTCAGTAAAAAAAAAAAATTTTTTTCTATTAATGATCTAATAAAATCGCATCATAGCAATATTACACTATGTGGCGTCCCTTATTGGGCTCTCTTTGAGAGCACCACCTTCTGCAGTGCCTGCTTTAATAAGGGGGACCCCTGATGCCTGTGATTGCTTGATGATCCTTGGAGCCCTATCACTATGGGAAAGCAGAGGATGATGTAGAGTGCGGCCTGACGAGAATGCTGAGGACCTAGGTGTTTGAAGAGTAAAGACACTTCCTTCATGCGTATTTAATACGCACTTCTGGTGAGTGCGCATTCTATTCATTTAACAATCTTCACCTCTGGATTGCACACTATTACTACAGACAGGATCCCACAGGATTGATATGATTTATACCTTGTGATCTGGACATTTGTGTGATCATTAATCGTCATTGCACTCTGTGCATTCATGTAAAAAGTGCTGTTCCAGTGAGTCTGAACATCTTGCTAAAGTCCTTCAACAGGTTGATTGAACTGAATCTGAATATCTTGCAGCCGAGAATATGCCAGGCTTAAATGTTTAAAGCAGCCAACTATTCTGCGCCTGACTTCCACTGCATCCGCAATGCTGCACTGTGATAAAAGACCTTCAGAGACAGCCAGCTGCAGTGTACAGTATGTGCCACACAAGAAAGTCTCTGAAGACCAGTATCTTCCACCCCTTTTATATTTCTGGCATCATCACGGACTACCACATGGACAGAACTTTTGGGAATCGCACAAGCCTCAAGCATTTCTTCAAATATGCTCTTTATAGTTTGTTATAGTGTTATAGTGCTTGTGTGAGAGCCTTGACATTTCTCTGCGTGGAGCATGACTTAATGCAGAGTGAAATTGCCATCAATCCATTGCACAGTTAGGCTGATTACAGATACTGGACTCACACTACTGCTCTCCAAATGTCCATGGTGAAACTGATCACCTTTATGTCTTCCTGCAGCATGCTGGTAATGTGTTTTTTTTCACCGTGTGACTGTGGCAAGACAACATCTGTGACATAAACGGCAACTAGGAATTTCATACTTGGGCTCCAAAACTTTAAGAAGTCACCGAAAACCCATCTTGTCAACTATTGATAGTGGCTGATCATCAAGTACAATGAATTCGGTAACCTCCTCAGTTATTTTTATAGCCCTTGGGTTATCCATGGATAATTTTTCTCATCTTGAGAGGGTTTGCTGCAGTGTCAGCGGCTGAGTGCTAGTGACAATGACAGCTGTAAATTCTCCATGCTCACTTTTTGTGTTTCGTTTTGAGGTGTTTTATGAGATTACTGGTATTATAGGCACTTATTTTTTAACCTCCTCTTGATATGTTTGCAGAGCAAAGTTTGCACTCTGCCATGTGTGGGTTGCTTTCATTGCTTTTAAATAAACTTCCAGACTGTTGACATTTTGCTGGTATCTCTTTGTGCTGAAGGGCTGAAATAAAAAAGTCTCTCCATCTTGGGAAAAAAAAAACTGAAAATGAAAAATAAATGATTGAGACACAGTTTATTTAATAAATAATAGATAGACAATATGAAGCTGCTCTCACCACTATGTTTCCATGATCCGGCATCCAGCATCTTTTAGGTATGGCCAAGTAGTAGTGCTAGTAACTCAGAGGAGAAATCCATCTGGTGTGCACTCCAGGTACATAACAGGACTATATAAAAAAGCAGAGGATGGTTTTGGGAACCCAGCCACAATGTGAACAACCATGAATGAGGTGGTGCCACCACCCTAAACAGCAAGCAAGAGACATGTGCCAGAAGTACTGCAAGGGACATGTAACAAGATTCACTGCCAGACGTACAGCAAGGGACATATAACAGGACCACTAGCAGAAGTATAGCAAGGGTAAGCATGTATGTAACAGTAAAGGTCCAGGACTGCTAGAAGTACAGCATGTGACAGGACTTACCACCAGAAAAACACTCCCAGCACACAGTTAACCCTTTGATCGCCCCTCATGTTAACCCCTTCCTGCCCAATGGCATTAGTTCAGTGTCAGTGCTTTTTTTGTAAGCTCTGATTACTGTATTGGTGTCACTGGGGATGTCAGTGACACAAAGTCAGTTCCCCCCACTGTCAGAATGCCCACTGCATTCCCGCTATATGTCGCTGATCGCCACCTTTACTAGTAATTAAAAAAAAAAAATTCCAGTATATATACCGCCATTTGTAAACACTATAACTTTCACGTAAACCAATTCATTTACATGTATTGGGATTTTTTTTTGCAAAGACATGCAGCAGAATACATTTTAGCCTAAATTTAGGAAGAAATTTGATTTTTAAAATTTTTTTGACTGGATATGTTTAATAGCAAAAAGTCAAAAATATTGTTTTTTTCTCAAAATTGACGGACTTTTTTTTTTCATAGCACAAAAAATAAAAAACGCACAGGCAATCACATACCACAGAAAGAAAGCTCAATTCATGGGGAAAAAAAGGATGTAAATTTGGTGCAGCGTTGCATAACCACTCAATTGTCAGTTAAAATAATGCATCACCGTAACGCAAAAAATGGCCTGGTTAGGAAGGGGGGTAAATCCTCAGGAGGGCAAGAGGTTAATTGGCAACCACATTATAGCTGAATGACGGCTACAGCACGGTTGTCCAGTTCTGGGAGGGCATCATATGACATCCTCCCAAAACGCACCATCCCGCACGCACCCAGCGGCGCGTAGCCGGGGATCTCTGTGATCGCTGTATCCTACGGACACAGCTGATCACATGATGTGGTACAAGGCCAATCACAGCGACCTTTTACCACGTGATCAACTGTGTCCAATGACACAGCAGATCACCGGGTAAATACAGTTGCCGTTTCTAGGCTGTACTTTCCTCATGCTGTCAAAGCGTGAGGAAAGTACTGCTGATAACCGGCAATTGTCAGAGAACAGATCGTCACTGATGATCAGTGCCCTGATCGGGGGTGGACTGACCATTCGAGCACTCGGGCACTTCCCGAGGGCCCGGGGTCAGTAGGGGGCCCCATGAAATGCCCTTGGTACCTTTTATAGGCTTTTTTGGGTGTGCTTTGAGTGTGGGCAAGGACACAGGGGCCCCATGATCCCCTATTGCCCGGGGGCCCCATGAGTTGTCAGTCAGCCCCTGGCCCTGATGATCAGTGCCACCCAGCAGTGCCACCCACCAGTGTCCAGCAGTGCCACCCACTGGTGCCCATCAGTGCCACCAACGTGTGCCCATCAGTGCCCAGCAGTGCCACTCACCAGTACCCATCAGTGCCACCAGTCAGTGCAGCCCATCAGTACTGCTCATCAGTGCCACTTATCAGTGCCCATCATTGTTGCATATCAGTGCAGCATCATCAGTGCAACCTATCAGTGCCACCTCATCAGTGCTGCCTATCAGTGCCCATCAGTGCCGCCTATCAGTGCCCATCAGTGCCGCCTATCAGTGCCCATCAGTGCAGCCTCATCAATTCACATCAGGGGAAAAATTACCTGTTTGCAAAATTTTATAATAGAAACCTTTTTTTTTTCAAATATTTTGCTCTTTTTTTGTTTATAGTGCAAAAAATAAAACAGCCAGCTGCAATTAAATACCAACAAAGAAAGCTCTATTTGTGTAAAAAAAATTATAAAAAATTCATATGAGTACAATTGTCATTCAAAATGAGACAGCGCTGAAAGCTGACAATTAGACTGGGCATCAAGGGGGTATAAGTGCCCGGTAGGCAAGTGGTTGAACTCTAATACATATGCTTACATTTGTCTGAGCTGAGCTCTCTTAAATACTACTTAAGTAGGATGTAAGATATTTGGTTGAGTTGTTTTATTCTATCATACGTATATTTTTGCACTTATGATAAACCGAAGTGGTGTATTTAATGTGTATACTATTTCTTTTACAATATATTTCACCAACAATTTACTTTGTAAACACAGTGGTAAAGAGAGCATTTTACAGATTTGCCTTGTCACAGTCAATAAGGCATTATGACGTGTCCTGTCATTCAGCAAATGACATGTCCCATGGACAGACATTCACCCAATGACAGGTAGACCAATTTTTACCTATCATTCAGTGTGTTCCTAGATGGGACACATCATGTTTGGCAGGGTTTTTTTTTTGCTGGCTGGTGTTTCATCGTGATTGACATTGGATCTAGTTTGCGGACATTTTTTTTTTTCGGGATGGAGGGTTAATAAAGGACTTGTAAATAGCTGTGTTTTTTTTAACTTTTGACACATTTTTTGGTGAATGAGTAGAAATACTATGTACCCCATACTCATTCACATGAGGGAAGGGTTCTGGGGGTCCACCTGTTAAAGTGGGCTTCCAGATTCCGATAAGCCCCCCGCCAACAAACCCCTACAACCACCGCCCAGGGTTGTGGGGATGAGGCCCTTGTCCCCATCAACACAGGGATAATGTGCTTTGATGAGGGGGAGCCCCCTCCCCCAAAGCAATATCCATGTTGAGGTTGTGTGGCCTGGTATAGTTCAGGAGGGGGGGTGCTCGCTCGTCCTCCTCATTTCCTGGCCTGCTGGGCTGCATGCTCAGCTAACAGTCATGTATGGATTGTAGTGGTATCCCACACCAATTTATTAAAATTTTGGTGTAGGATTCCCCTCAAAATCCATACAACTGTATTGGAGGGGACCCAACCCAGTATTTTTTTTTTTTTAATCGGCACTGACAGCAGAGGAGTCATGGTTGTTAAGGACACAGTAACCACCAAGTCCTTAACAACTGACTCTTCTTAATGAATCTGAATGATCCAATGATCCAAATTAATCCAAACTTGTTTGTTCTGATTTATTACTATGTCCATGCAGAAATACATCTGAATCTCTAAAAAAAGAAATCTCAACGAACCGAATTGCCCATGTCTATTCATCATGCATTCATGTGGATAATATATATACAGTTGCAAGAAAAAGTATGTGAACCCCTTGGGATTACGTGGAGTTTTGCATGAATTGGGCATAAAATGTGCTCTGAATGTCATCTAAGTCACAACAATAGAAGAACACAGTCTGCTGAACATAATACTACACAAACATTAGATGTTGCCATGGTTTAATTGCACATAACATGTAAACATTCACAGTGCAGGGAGGAAAAAGTATGTGAGGCCCTAGCTTAATGACTTCTCCCAGAGCTAATTGGAGCCAGGAGTGAGCCAACCTTGACTCCAATCAGTGTGATGATATTGGATGTGTTGCTGACAGCTGTCCTGCCCTTAAAAAACACACACCTGTTTTGGGTTTACTGGTTTCAAGAAGCACTGTCTGATGTGAACCATGCCTCGCAGAAAAGAGCTCTCAGAAGACCTACCATCAAGAATTGTTGCCTTGCATGAAGCTGGAAAGGGTTACAAAAGTATCTCCTTGAGCCTTGATGTTCATGTGTCCACGGTAAGACAGACTGTCTACAAATGGAGAAAGTTTAGCACTGTTGCTAACTCTCCCTAGGCGGGGTCGTCCTGTAAAAATGACTGCAAGAGCACAGCGCAGAATGCTGCATGAGGTAAAGAAGAATCCCAGAGTGTCAGCTAAAGACCTACAGAAATCTCTGGCACATGCTAACATTTTTGTTGACACATCTACAATAAGGAAAACATTAAACAAGAATGGAGTACATGGGAGGACACCACGGAGGAAGCCATTGTTGTCCAAAAGAAGATTGCAGCACGTTTGAAGTTTGCAAAAGAGCACCTGGATGTTCCACAGCACTACTGGCAAAATATACTGTGGACAGATGAAACCAAGATTGAGTTGTTTGGGAAGAACACACAACACTATGTGTGGAGAAAAAAAGGCCCAGCACACCAACATCAAAACCTCATCCCCACTGTGAAACATGGCGGAGGGGGCATCATGGTTTGGGGCTGCTTTGCTGCCTCAGGGCCTGGACGGATTGTTGTCATTGATGGGAAAATGAATTCCAGAGTTTATCAAGACATTTTACAGGAAAACGTACAACCATCTATCCGCCAACTGAAGCTCCGCAGAGGATGGGTGATGCAACAGGACAATGACCCAAAGCATACAAGTAATTCAACAAAACAATGGCTACAACAGCACAGAATACGCCTTCTGGAGTGGCCCAGTCAGAGTCCTGACCTTAACCCGATTGAAATGCTGTGGCATGACCTTAAGAGAGCGATTCGCACCAGACATCCCAAGAATATTGCTACACTGAAACAGTTTTGTGAAGAGGAGTGGTCCAAAATGACTCCAGATCGTTGTGCAGGTCTGATCTGCAACTACAGGAAACATTTGGTTGAGGTTATTGCTGCCAAAGGAGGGTCAACCAGTTATTAAGTCCAAAGGTTCACATACTTTTTCCTCCCTGCACTGTGAATGTTTACATGTTATGTGCAATTAAACCATGGCAACATCTAATGTTTGTGTAGTATTATGTTCAACAGACTGTGTTCTTCTATTGTTGTGACTTAGATGACGTTCAGAGCACATTTTATGCCCAATTCATGCAAAACTCCACATAATCCCAAGGGGTTCACATACTTTTTCTTGCAACTGTATATTGTATTTATTCACATCAGGAGTTGCATTTTTACATTTTAGAACGTACCAGGCAATGGTCACAAGGTGTCTGGAGCTTAAAAACTCCTGTGATGCATAACTGTGAATTGCATACTGACTTTTATATATATTGAGATTTTTTACATTGTTGCATGATTTTCATGGCCTCTGGTATCTTTGTGAGTTCTCATTAACTGTGTTTTATTTTATATATTGGTATATTGGTTTGAAGTATGGACAGGTCAATTATTAAATGTCTACATATTTGTGATTTGTGTTTCTCCAGCTGTACTATTTGAACTATATATAAAACTATAGCTGCTCCTGGCTATTTAATCTAAACCTACTCACCATCTTTTATATGTACCAGGTGAATGCAGCATTTTTCTCCACAGGTGTGATTCACAAATATGACTGAATTGTACCTCATTGCTTTAGCAAAATGAAACATACAATTATCTAGAGTGGCACCTCTGAAAAAACACAGTGTTTTGTTCCCTAACTCTTCATAAGCTTCAATTTTAAGAACACTATATCACCTTTGCTTGTAAGTCTAGGCCTTTTGTAAGACTTGTCTTGTGGAAAAGCATTTTCTGATCTATATTATAAGAAGAGCTATGGTTAAGATAATTTAGTGAAGTGCTACAGTAGTACCACTCACTTGTGTTCTGATTTCGATAAAATGTATCATGGTGACATAGCTTTAAAATCTTTGAATCAAAAGGTGTTAATGTATTTGGCTGTATGTGACTGCAGTTAGAGCCTTATGAGGAACAAATAGCTTTCCTTAGACAATTTTGCTTACAGTAATATTGCTGTAGTGTATATTAAAAGCTAAACTCTGGGCAGATATAATTTAAGGTATCAATTAAAAAAAAATAATTAATGTGACCCTGTCATTAATTTTGAAGAGTTTGATTAAACACTGCTTTAGAGAATACATTTATAATACTTGTCAGTTGTGCTTTTTTTGACTCCAGGATAGGGGCGGACTGACCATTTGGAAACTCGGGCACTGCCCGAGGGCCCAGGGTCAGTAGAGGGTACCATGAGATGCCCCTGGTACTTTTTTCATAGGCTTTTTTGAGTTTGGGCAAGGACACAGGGGCCCCATGATCCCCTATTGTCTGGGGGCCCCATGAGTTGTCAGTCCACCCCTGCTCCAGGATGTGTTTTCTTGAAGAATTAGAGGCACTGTTAGAATCTTCAGCATCCAACACTTCTGAGTGTGTTGGAGGCCTGCATCTCGCTGCTGCCCACTGCGGATTCCCTTCCTATGGCTGCTACATCACTGTTTTATCTCTTTAAAGCTACAAGAATATAACAGCAGGAAATAGGTGGGGAGCAGAATGGGCAGAGTGGAGGTGCAGGCCCTGGGCACACTTGGAAGTGTTGAGTGCTGAAGAGTCTAGTGGCCCCTATGACTGCAAGATAGTGAAGATTGGGTTTGATGACAGAACTAATGGTGAGAATTATAAATGCATTTTCCAAAGCATTATTTGATTAAACAGTTACGTAGTAATGATGGTGTCTATTTAAAAGCATTGAATCTTGATATTAACCACTTTTGGCTCATGCATATGCAATGTACCCTCTAAAAACCTTCATCTAAAAACCTTGGGTTTTCCTGATATAGACCCAGCACCCCTCTTCACAGTG